TCACCTCTGACTGGCTGCGTGTGGGCCACGTGTCAATCCTCGCCCCTGGGGAGGCGGGGCGGGCACCTCGATTGACAGCATCCCGAGGCCTCACGAGGTGGGCGGGTCGGAATGCCTACCAGCACTCCGGCGCCAGGGGGCAGCCTCGTGGGCCTTGGGCTCTGGTTGGGGGGTCTCCCTGCCTGCCGCGGGCCTGGATAGGAGGAGATGCCGAGAGGAGTAGCTCAGCGGTGGGCAGGGCCCTCACCCTGGTGTCTTCTCCCTCCACCACTGCCGCGGGCTACCTCCAGGACGGTGGTTCCCCCCCGCTGCTCTGGAGGGTCATGATTTGGGCCATGGTTGGCTGCTAAGAGCCCAGCTTCTGTGTGGCAGTGGGCACCGGCTCGAGTGGGGAGACGGGGCCTCCATCTGCTGCTGTGACTGCAGTGTCCTCTCAGGGAGGGCCTGGCAGGACTTTGGGGACCTGGAGGCCCTGAAGGAGGCAGGTCCACTCTATCCCTGGGATGCAGTGTTCCAGGTGAAGGGGACAAACTCCTCACCCAAAGGCCCTGAAACAAGTCATGGCAGAAGGAGAGAGTGCAAATGCCTGGGGGCTCCCCACAGAGGGTGAAGGGTGAGGGGCGCCCCTCCCATCCCAGAAGCTTATGGCACCTGGCGGATCCCGGCCCGAGACTGGACTGTCCACCTACAGGAAGGGAGCCTCTGCTTCCAGCATGAGCTTCCTGGGGCCCCCCACTGGGCCTGGCTTCAGGGGGCTTGGATGGCCTGTGGGGGCCATAGCTGGAGAGAGGAGGCCAGGCAGCATGCCCCAGGCACCAGTTAAAGTTCTGGAACCCAAGGAGATTGTTATGGCCCAAAAAGAGGATCTAGAACTAGGATTTTCAAATCCAGAAAATTCAGAACATGAAATGAAAAAGAAAGTAGATCTCAAAGGATAGAAGCAAGACGTCTCAAAGAAAAAAAAAAACAGGCTTGGGGATGTCTTCTCGTCCACCTGTGAATGTTAAGAGGCTCCAGGAGGAGAAAAGGGTCTGGAGATGATGAATGAATAAGAGTGGAAATTTCCTCTGATGAGAAAAAGGCATGAGCCTGCAGAGTGGCAGGGCGGATAGGTACCAGGCAGCGTTATTTTAAAGAAAAAAGACAAACCCTTGGCATCTCCCAGTGACGTTCCTGAAGTCTACACCTGAAATCTCAGAGGCTTCCCGACAGAATAAAGTAGTGACAAAGGAGAAGCACCCCGGCAGTGGATTTCTCATCTTCAGATTCTGGGGTGCTGCCCCCTCATGGCCTGCCTGGGCCCGAATCCTCACTAGAGCTCAGGACTTTGCAGCTGAGCAGGAATTCAGAGGGCATTTCCACCAGGTGTTACATCTGAGGGAAACAGAAATGTCCAAGGGAGGGACATCTGATCAGGCCCCAAGAGAGG